ATTTGGTCTTCTGTGCCTCGCTTCTTAGCATGTTTTCAGAATCCATCTGTCTTGTAGTATGTATCATTACTTTTTCTTTTTGGGGGGCTACATTTTATTTGTCCATCCACCAGTTGATGGACATTTGGTTGTTGCTGCTTTTTAAGTTATAAATTATGGTGCTTTGAATATTTGCAGATATGTCTGTAGGGGGAGAGGGCTCTCTGATGTCGCTTATAAGGACACTAATCCTATTAGATCAGGGTCCCATCCTTATGAACTTACTTTAATTACTTCTTTAAAGGCCCTGTTTCCAAATATAGCCACACTGGGAGTTAGGGTTTCAACATAGGAATCTGGGAGCAGGCACTTTTATTCCGTAACATACAACAAATCTATGTTGTAGCATTTTAACAAAGCAGTTATTTTCCAAACTGAACACATTTTTTTTCCCACCAGCTATAAGGATTCCAATTTATCTGCATTGTCGCTCCTACGTTTTGATTATAGCCATTCTAGTGGATATAAAGTGGGCTCTCCTTGAAATTTTGATTTGCATTTCACTACTGATGTTGAGCTTGCTTTGTGTGCTTATTGGTCATTTACTGATGTTCTTGGCTGAAATGTCCATTCACATCTTTTGCCCATTTTAAAACTGGATTATCGATCTTACTGCATTGTAATATTTCTTTATATACTCTGGGTATACTTATCAGGTATGATTTGCAGGTATTTTTTTCCAGTCTACAGCTTTCCATTCTCTTGATGCCATCTGTTGATGTATGAAAATTTAAGTTTTGATTAAGCCCAATATATCTAACTTTTGTCTTCATATGTGTCTTGCTTTTGGGGTTCTAAGAAACTTGCTCAATCCAAGATCATGAAGATTTACTCCAATGTTTTCTTGATCATTTTGGGATTTGGGCTCTTTCTTTATGGATTATGTTTTCTCCCCTTTCTGCTTGTTTGGTAATATTTTATTGGATGCCACACCTCCTGAAGGTTCTGTATAATTTTGGGTTTCTAAAAATATTCATGCACTTTGTTCTGGCACATAGTTAAGTGGCTTGGAAGCAGTTTGATCCTTTTATGTCTTGCTTTTTCTTTGTTAGGCAAGAGCAGGGCAGCATTTAGTCTGGAATGAACTCTCCCCACTCCTAAGGCAAGGCCCTTCTTCGTCCCCCTGCAGATGCCCCGTGAATTGAGGGGTTTCACTCTGCCTGTCGGGAATAGGCACTGTTCCCTGCACCGTGTGCATTCTGGGCAACGTTTCCTTTAGTCCTTTGGCGTTCCCCTGGCCTCCGGGAGTTGCCGCAGCAGGGCACACCGATCAGTCTGTGGAATCCTACTGGGGCTTCTCTGGGCCTCTGCTCTGTGGACTCCACCCACCTTGGCTTCCGGACTCCCAGTCACCTCCTCAACGAAAGTGCCTATGGGCTCTACCTGGGTGTCCCCTTCCCGCCTGGCAACGGTCCCCAAGTGAACTGGAGCAGTCTTAAGGCTCCCTTCATATGTTGCCATGCTCCGGTGTCATTGTCCTTCACTGCCCTGAGATCCAGTTTGTTGACAGCCTGTGCTGTATTTTGTCTGGGTTTTTAGATGTTGCAGGCGGGAGGTTAATTACAGTCCCTGTTACCCCCTCTTGGCTGGAAATAAAATCTTTTTTAGCTTAACATTTTGTCCCTTATGCATCTACCCAAATGACACTTGTTTTTGTTGAGTAGGTTTGTTTTTTTTGATGGGCCACTAGTTTGAGTTTTCAAATGATGTTTGTTTTTCAATTTTACTGTTTTGGTTTTTTTCCTTTTATTCCTTGTTGCTTTGTTAACAGGGAATAAAAATGCTAACAGTAATTTTTATAGCTTTTATTTGTACAGGTCAAGGTCTTTGGGCAGCTCTTTGGCTTCAGTCCCCTAGTATGTGTTTTTAGATGTATTTTGTAAGCCACCGGGATCATGTTTGCCTTAAGTCCATATGTATCACTGACTTTGTAATTCCGTCCTGTGTGTTTTAAGGTCTGTGATGCTTTCCACGAGGTGTGCTGACCAGTTTTTCAGTTTCTTTAGTTTCAAGCCTTAAAGCAATTAATTTCTCTTGTGTCAGCTACAGCGGGCAAACCCAGGAGTCTTCCTTGTCAGCCTCTTTTGAAAACCATTTCAATAAAGCTCCTTGTGCTTTTTCCATCTTTACATAATTCAGTAGTTAACAGCTATTATAATTATTCCCCTAGACCAATTTATGAAATCAGTTTTTGTTCTTATAAATTAGCAGCTACCCAGGATAGCTAATTGAGAAAATAAGTTATACAGAATCCCACAACTCTAATTTACTTTGAATAGCATTTTAATATATCCCTTTCCTTCATTTATAAAAATATCCACAGAACTCAGAGGATCATTAAAATGTTTAAAAAGGAGGCCCCTGGGTGGCTCACTCAGTTAAGCACCCGACTTCGGCTCAGGTCGTGATTTGTCTGGTTGTGAGTCTGAGCACGGCATCGGGTTTGCTGCTGTCAGCACAGAGCCTGCTTGGGATTCTCTGTCCCTCCCCTGCTTGCACTCTCTAAAAAAAAAAAAAAAAAAATTTTTTTTACAAAAAATGTTTAATAGTGTGTGGGCACCAATGAGAACAGTAATTATAATGCAGAGGGTCCTAAGATGGTCTTGTGGTTGGAGTCTTGGACCAAGGAGAGGTGGACAGCAGTCCTCCCATCGGGATCAGGGCAGGGAGAGGGAAGGACAGGAGCTTGCACAAGGGCGTTTACCCCCTGCGGTACGAGTGAATAGACGCACACAGGCTGAAATAAAGTTTTTATTGGGAAATTTTTGTGATTGTTCAAACACAACAGTTGCACATTTTGCATTATGGCTATGTAATGGTGTATCGGATCTTTGTACACTTAGGCTAACCTATTTTTAACTTTTACAAATAATACTGTGATGAACAACATTGTGCAGAAATCTGTTTCACACCTCTCATTACTGGGTTAAACTGTAGAAATTAAGGTGCTTGAGAGATGTTGTCCAATTGTTCTCCAATATGGTTATATCAAGTTATACAGACACTGACAGAAAGTATTGACAGAATTATAGCATTTGTCCTTTTTAAAATTGGGTGTAAGTGTGTTTATCAGCTTGTACAAATACTATTAAGGATTTTAACACTTCTTAGTGTTCTAAGCCTTTCCTATTTCATACAGAGAAATCATGCCAGAATAAACTTGATAGTATAGTATGAAAACTTGTTTTTCAAACACATAAAATGGATTAATGGTAAAAATAGATTATCTTAAGAACAGTTGAAACACACCAGAATACTGGTATAAACTTAGGATACAAAAATATTTCGTAAAAAGGTAACTTTGGCTAAAACATCTACAATCCATATGCTGAAATAAAGCCCAATCTTAGAAACCAGGATGATTCCAAATATAGTAGCTAGACACGTTAGTCACCTTAAGTCCTTCAGAAAAGGAGATAAATAGTTGCTTAAGAATTAGAGCTAGGAATCAAACTGATCTGGTTTTGACCTAGTGTATTGTCATCAACCCGTCTTCTCCAGGCCAGTCTCCTTGGGAACATGGGAGCAAGAGGGTGACCCCTGCCGTCCATTTTTAAAAACCAGCTCTTAAATAGGGGTTAGCTACATCCTTTTATCACTGGGAAAACTCCTCTTTCTAGGTGGGTAGTTATGAGGTAACACCAGAACAATTAAGTTGCCAGAGACGGTCTTATGAGCATTTATTTAATCTTCTTCTTAGGTTACATGCCATTAGAAGGCAGGAAAATATTTGTTTTCCCCCCAATTACAAGCCTTCTCCACTTAGGGAAAGTTTCCTCATTTTAAGAAATTAAGTGGGGGCACCTGGGTGGCTCAGTTGCTTGGGCATCCTACTCCTGATTTTAGCTCAGGATGTGATCTCACAGTTGGTGGGACTGAGCTCCATGTTGGGCTCTGGCTGAGTGTGGAGCCTGCTTGGGATTTGCTCTCCCCCCTGCTCGCTCACTAAAAAATAAAATAAGTGAAGAAACATAAGTGAACTGGATTCACTATATTGCTAATGCTTAAAAAAAAAATCAGTAAATTTGTTGACTTTGTTCATGACACTAAATGTGGCTTATTCAAAGTAAGCCCTATTTGGCTGAAGCTGATCTAATCTGCATTTCCCTCAGTATCTGTCACATAGTAGTGTGCACTTAGCTGACTCAGGCTGCTATGACAATTACTAGAGGCCACGTGACTTCACATTTCTCACGGTTCTGGAGGCTGAGATGTCCAAGGTCAACATGCCAGCAGGTTTGGTTCTTGGGCCCACTTCCTGGCTTGTAGACAGCCTCTCCTCCTCAGTGTGTGCTCACCTGGCCTTTCCACATGCATAAAGGAAAGTGAGAAGTTGGTCTTCCTCTTCTTACAAGGGTACTAACCCCATTTTCTGGGTCCCACCTCCAAATACCATGACACTGGGGCTAGGGCTTCAAATTAGGAACTTTGGAGGACACAGCCCATGACATGTACCAAGTAGGTATCAATAACAACTGTACAAAATGCCTTTTTATTAAATCAGCTAACTCACTGTCTACTATTCGCAGAGCATACAGTTTACAAACCTGGCTAATGAAATGAGTCACCCACAGAACTTAAAGTGAGAATCTAACTACTGGGTCCCACCTTCAGGGATTCAGTAGATCTGGAATGGGACAAAAAGCTGTATTTAAACAAACTTTCCAGATGATGCTAATGTTCAGCCAAGTTTGAGAACTGATATCGGCACTGTGACCTTATTTGGGGAACACAGATCAATATTCAACAGTAAAGTCTGGCATTAGTTGAAGGGTGGTAGTTAAATTGTTCAGAATATGCTAAGAAAAAGGGGCTTTTTTTCTTAGAAGAGTGACCTATTATTTGCAGCTCCACCAACTGAAAATACAACTACATGCTACAAACTGGATTTTAAATTAAAAGCACAAATTGGTTCCCTTTGCTTCTGTGTTTCCCATACATCTGTTGTGTTTTTCCCACAGAGGAAGAAGATGATCTCTTTGATGATCCTATGCCATTACCTTTAAGGCACAAGGTTCCATACAAGCTAACTCTTCACCCTGAGGTCTATCTACTGACTGCAGCTTCCCCAAACCAGCCTGAACACCGGAGACAAAGCACCGGGTACAAAGAGAGTATGCAAACCTTTCCTCTGGCAAACTTTATAGACTGTGAAGAATCCAACAGCGAAGATGAAGAAGAATTACAGACACCAGCTTCATCTCAAGAAGACCCGGGTGCTCTCACACATCACCAGCAAAAGGCTGATGTAGAAGTACCACAGTGGGAAGTGTTCTTTAAAAGAAATGATGAAATCACAGAGGACAGTTTGGAAAATCTCCCTTCTTCCACAGAGGCAGGTGGCTCTCAATCACCAAAGATTTTTAGCGACTCTGATGGAGAGTCAACTCACATCTCTTCCCAGACTTCTTCTCAGTCAACACACATATCTGAACAAGGGAGTCAAGGCTGGGACAGCCAATCGGACACTGTTTTGTTATCATCCCAAGAGAGAATCAGTGGGGATATTACCTTCTTGAACAAAGGTAGCTATACACCAAGAATCAAGGAGAATATTCCTGCCTCTCAGATGGAACAAAATGTACTTTGCCCAAAGGATACTTACTCTGACTTGAAAAGCAGAGAACAAGATGCCAATAGAGTTCCTAGTGTTGGAGAACCCACAACCGTAAGCAGTGGGAAACACATACCTCAGGAGGAAAGGCTGCTAAATTTTAGCACCAATGCAGATTCCCAGAGCTCCTCCGATTTTGAAATTCCCTCCACACCAGAAGCTGAGCTACCTAAAGGAGAGCATTTGCAATATTTATATGAGAAGCTGGCGACAGGGGAAAATATAGTCATTGAAAAAAGAAAAAGCTCATTCTTAGATACTTAAAAATGAAAAACCTTACATTCTAGAGCAATCACCAAAAAACCTACAAAAAGAGGTAGGACATTTGTAACGGACACATCAGAATGGCATATTTTAAAATGCTCATGTAACATTAAACAAGGCAGTAAAGGGGAAACACAGGAACAAAAAAATAGAGGTAAAAAGCAGAAAACAAGGTAGAACTAAATCCAAACATCAATAATTACAGTTTAGTGAAAATGGTCAAAACATACCAGAGAAAACCTAGGGAAAGAACCACAATGTTCTTAGATGCTGTCTCTAAGAAACTCATCTCAAATGATGCAGGCAGGTTAAAAGTAAAGGATGGAAAAAAATATCTAAATACTTCCACTACTTAAAGCTGGAATGGCTATATTACCATCAAACAAATTTCTCATGATAAAAGGTCCAATTCACTAAGAAGACACAATCCTACATGTGTACATTCCTGAAAACACTTTCAAAATATACAAGGCAAACCAAAGGAGAAACACAAACTAATGCACAGTCTAGCTGGGGACTCAACCTGTTCCTCTATCGGTGACTGAATTAGTGCACAGGAAAGTGAGCAAGGCTATCCAATTCCAAGGCACCATTAACTGACTGCATCCGACACAGATCACTCCACCCAACAGCAGGCTCTTTCTCAAGCTCCAATGGCACATTCACCCCGATAGATGGCCGTATCCCGGGTCATAAAAACACTTAAAAAGAAATCAGCCCCTTATTTATCTCAAAAGATAGATCACTTATGAATGCTGAACACAAAGGTAAAATTAAAAGGAGAGAAATTAGCACCTGAAAGAAGAAAATGAAATGACAAAGGTTTAAGTGTGTTCTATGAATTGTTGGATTTCCTTCAAGTCCATCATGTTCTTGCACAGCTATATATGTGGGTTTAATAAAGTTCCATTAACAAATATTCATCAACAGTTTGGGATATGCTGACGTTTTATAGATTAAGGAAGTGAAGGCGGAGATTTCCCTTAAGTTTAAGTGGAGTCTCTAAGTCAATTTGCAGATCAATGAAACTAACAATGATACACATTATCACCCTGCTGCACTGACCCCTTCTTTCTAGCTCTGCAGATAGAGAGCTTTGTCCCAGCTTTTGATGAAGTCCGCTCCAGACTCTGTGTGATTGGAGTAGAAATACATTTATCCCATTTTCCCTATCTCTCCAAGGAGTTCTACTGCCTGAATGCAAAGTGAACAGAAAATCACCACAGAGACCAGTAGAGAGTACAGATCACTGACTAGCTAGTCATAACTACAACAGGCCTAATACACAAACCCAGAAACTTCATTTTTAATCTGTAGTTCTAAAAATTAGTTACACTACATTAATAAGTCATGTAATCAAGTGTAACTATAAATTCACTGACATTTAAGACCTCATTTTAGTAGTATAGCTGATAATCCAAGATGGGGACTCAACGCATGCCTGTAAACCTTCTTCTGAATATATTAGCACTGTATAGATCCACCATCCATTTAATTTTACATACTGCCATATTTTCATTGTTTTAAGAGAACCTGGCATAATAAATGCCAGGTGAATGAATTTAAGGGCTAAGAGCACTAGAAAACACTTGATTAAAAAAAAAACAAAAAACCTGTAGTGATCACCAAAGACTACAAAAGTGCAGGTTTACAGTACAGAATAATTACAGCAGATACTTACATGTGGTGCTTACTCGGTGATGACATACTGGATATTAACTCTTCAGTCCTCCCACCACCTTTTGAGGCAGAGAAGTTTATTCTCCCCACTCACAAATGAGGAGGCTGAGGCACAGAGAGGTTAGTTCACATGGGAAAGAGTGAAGCCAGGACTGAATATACAGGAATTCAAGCTCCAGAGTCCATGCTCTCAGCCACGATGCAATAATGCCTCTCAAAAAGAGCACGGGCCGGGGTAGGATCGATTATAGTGGCTACTTGATTTTTACTCTAAGAACTGTAAAGTATAAAGGAGAAAGTGAAAAAAAAAATTTCAAAATGCCAAGGCAAGGTACATCACAGAAGAAATGCAGTGACTAGCCACATTTGCCTTAAAGAGGAATTCAAGATTTACAATTTGTTTAAACTTTAACAGTACAGAACGAGTCCGGTATGAATAGGCACTTTCCTGCCCGAGCTGGGTGATGTAGGGCTTGGTCATGTCACCTAACCAGTCCAGACCCCTTTGCTGTAGGGCTGACAGCACTGGCCTCACAGGTTTAGGAGACGCACAGGAGCGCAGATAAAGGGCCTGAGACTCGCTCTAAGAATAGGAGCTTTAGGTCATAACTTTCCCTGCAGTTCCACACAGTATTCACCTATTTAGCACAATGTGTTTAAGTAACCTGGTGACTCATAATGCTCAAAATATTTCACAAGTATCCATCCACATTATGCTACGTAAAATTCTACTTTAATATTCAAACAGACCAACCATGACAATGTTAAACTTTCTTTAAAGGCAAATAACATTTAAAGGAATGGTATAAAAACCTTTGGTTAATCTCAAAAGTACAGGAATACATTGGGGGTTTTTTTTGGTCCCTTTTGTAGCCTTACTGGTAAGCAAAATAAAATATTCAAAAACAAAGCTAAACTTGCACAATAGAAAATCAAATGCAAACCTAAATTTATTTTGCTAAAGAAAAGTAAATTGTCAGAAAAAAGTGCAGTCTAGATTTTGCACATATGGTGAAAAAACCCTGAGATTACCAACTGGGTATCACAATCCTTATGGAGATCTTGAAAACTATGGTATTAATACACCTTGCAGAATGGATTAACTTACAGTTTAAATTTCATCTAAATACTGCCCTTGAATATTGGCTTTATTTTGAGAGAACAAATTCTAACAGCTTGAGAAGCTAAATGTTGACTTAAAATGGTTAAAAGCTCCTAACAGCCTCATGTAGAGAGTTTCTATTTTACTGATAAAGTTCAGCTTTGTAATCAAACAAGGGTAACACAGGTAACAAATCTCAAAGACCTATTAAATTTCTATTAAACCACAAAAAGACAAGATCCAATAACTGGACAGTAAAACATGTTTTAAGAAGAACATTATATTTTTTTAAACCTGGGAGAATTAGAATTCAAAGTGAGCTTGGCCATTGGGAGCACTTGTAAATCTGTGATGCTTTCTCAACACTGACACCATGTGACTATTTCCTCATAAAGAAAACATAAGAAATGGCACTAAGAAATAGATTTTTCCATGACACCTTCTGCAGATTTTGGTTAATACACTGTGAGACTCCAAACATGTAAAGAATTTACCCTATGTTATGAAAGAGAAAATCATGTGAAAGCAATATAATGAAAAAAGTGTAGCTTCTCCCAAAAAAAAGAGGTTAAGGATTAAGAAGATATGGGAAATGCTGCATTCCTGAGGTTAGTTCAGTTTTCCTCAAACTTATTTTAGGTCAGTAAAGCAATAGGGTGATGAGCTTAGGTAAAATCTAATTAGGAATACTGAAAGCTAGATTTACTTGCTGCATTTACCTTCATGTTGGACACCATGATTACAAATCCCCAAATCACAGAGATGAAAACACAGTTGTTCCCAACTGAGGCTTTACTATGCAGAAAAACAAAACAGAAACAAAAACCAAACAACTGTATTCCATTTCAGTCTTCATGGTTCAAGTAAAAAATGTTCTCACAATTCAGATACACATTTTGGCCAAGCCAAGTTTAGCTTTATCACATTTAAAAAATTCATGTATAAAAAATAAGTATCAGTTCAAAATATAGATTATTTTAAGAAGAGCCTGCGGGGAATACAAAAATAATTAAATTTGGTGGAAATGTTAAAGCCGCCTGAAATTCAGAAGATGTAATATGCATGTGCTGCAGGAAACACTGTTGTTAGGGACAGGTGCATGCAGGAGTGTCTTGTGTTGCTGTTGCTGTTTAGACTGGGTATGCAACACAGATCTCTCGATTCGCATTATTAAGTGGGGCCCTGAAAGCGCTCCATTTCCCTACTCTGGCACTTCCAAGAAACCCTCTTGGTCCCACTGCCCCACACTTTCAAAGCAGCATAATGGTCATCCATTCCATAATCTTAGAGCTTTTTGGAAATTATTCTTTTACAAGATTAACAATCTTTTAAGAATTGCTGATTCAGACACACATGCCTCTTAACAGTCTGGATTGCTTCAAAATATGAAATCAAGCTGTAATTAAATTTGCTTACATTTAATTTTAGACCTTAAATTTCTGTATCATTAAGATCCCAGTATTTTAATGGAAGTAGAAAATAGAGTATAATTCAGTATCACCTATTTTTCTTGAATACAAGTACAATGAGTAATAATGCGAATGACAAGACAAAAATAGCACTTGTATATTATCTGCCCAAATTGAATTTAACTCTTTCTCTAAATTGAAGGTGTGTGTATGGCAGATTGAATACTTGATCTTAGTGACTGTTATGTTATCGGTTTAACACTTAAACACTGAAGGAGGCATTTCTCTATTCACACAGACCTCTTATGTATATGCTGAACTGTCAGTAGTTTTCTTTTCAGGTTTGGTATCCTGAAATCACCAAACATGTGTATTTTAAAATAGTTTCTGTGACCGTGTGTTCTCCTCTTCAGAAGCATCAGTAATGCATTTGGCCAATAGTTTGAAACATGAACTGTATATTAACATAGCATATAATCCTGATAATATGAAAAGAGTCCCAAATACTTATTTAAAACATTCACATTAGGAGAAAAAGAACACTGCAACCATCAGCTCGGGTTCCTGAATCAGTTGAGGTAACCTCTGCAAGTCACAGCTCCACACTTGCACACAGTTCTGACCCTCTTTTTGGCTGGGCTGTAGTCAACAGAATCTGAAGATACATCTCCAGAACCTGAATAAGCAGAAAAAGAAATATACAAGAAAAAGTTTAAGACCATTCAGAATGAAGTTCAAATTTCTAATGAGTTTTAAATCAATGTGACTATTCAGAGACAAATAATGAATTATCTTGAAAGGATGGTGTGTGGCTAGTAAGAGAGAAAAGCATAGGCTATTAGCCATGCTTCCGAGAACAGCTTTGTGAAATGATGAAACTTATTGGGAAAATCTGATACATGTTCAATTTCATACATTATTTAAGGGCCACAGAGTCAGGCCAAATAGTAACAACCTATAATTAACACTTAGAGAAACAAATCAAAGAAAAAACATATGGTCCCAATAAGGCAAATAAAACTGATGTGTGTTTTAAAAAGCCAAATCCAAGTAGGAATGGAATAATAAATTCAGATGTGATTTAAATCTTTTCAATCTTCCGAATACCCATCATCTCTTAGTAAATTTTCAGGAATGTACGCCTTACAGTGTGCCTGGGTGGCTCAGTCGGTTAAGCGTCTGACTTCAGCTCAGGTCATGATCTCATGGTTCGTGGGTTCAAGCCCCATGTCGGGCTCTGTGCTGACAGCTAGCTCAGAGCCTGGAGACTGTTTTGGATTCTGTGTCTCCCTCTCTCTCTGACCCTCCCCTGCTCACGCTGTCTCTCTCTCTCAGAAATTTTTTTAAAACTTTAATTTAAGACATCTTAAATTTCATGATTATCCCCAGATATTGACATGTACCTCATTACTTTATATGTAAAACAGCTGAATTATTATATGAGCTGCCTTTCCATCTCTTTTGATTCAAAGAGTGAATGTAGTCAATGTTTGATCTGTGTATTCAGCAACATTCAAGAATTTACTTAAATACTGCTTTCAGAGTGTGCTCTTTCCTGAAGATTTTTATATAAATGTCACATGGTTTCAGTTTATAGAATTTTAGGAGATAGACAGATAAGATAAAATCAAAATTTGCCTTTTCATCCTTCAACATAACAATAATTCTCCCATCCAAGTACTAACCAGGCCCGACCCTGCTTAGCTTCCAAGATCAGACGAGATCAGGTGCGTTCTGGGTGGTATGGCTGTAGACAACATAACAATAATTCTAATAAAGAATCTATGTTGGGGGGTGCTTGGGTGGCTCAGTCAGTTTAATGTCCGTCTTCAGCTCAGGTCATGATCTCACGGTTCATGGTTTTGAGCCCCGCGTCAGGCTCTATGCTGGCAGCCAGCTCAAAGCCTGGAGCCTGTTTCAGATTCTGTATCTCCCTCTCTCTCTCTGACCCTCCCCTGCTCACGCTGTCGCTCTCTGTCTGCCTGTCTGTCAATCTCTCTCTCTCTCTCTCTCTTAGAAATAAATAAAACATTTAAAAAAAATTTTTTAAAGAATCTATGTTGGAAGACCATTCTCCGTGGTCTCTCATTTCAGCATGTCTTGTGAGCAGAGGCACTGACTTCTAATTCTTCTATACTGTCTTCTCAAGGATGTGTGTACAGAAAACACCTGGAAGTTAAGATCTGCCTCCAAAGCCAAGGACAGATTTGCAGTCTTGGAAGATAAAGATAATGTCTCCTTCCAAAGCAAAGGGTAGGCACACTTACTGCATGTTATAAAAGATCTGGGGTCCCTAGGCTCAGAAATCCTCTCTTATAACTTGCAGGTATATTCTGGCCCTCTTCATGTCACCCTGTGAGGAATGGGAGTAAAAAGAATTGGCACAAATGATGATACTATTGCGGTAAGTAACA